CCATTTCAGCAGCACACCTGCATCATAACGAACTTACTGTCGTTAAGGAAAGGAAGAAATTTCTTGCAACTCTGGACATATGAACTAAATATTGTATTCAGTCTTGGCTTCTTAAAAACAAATCACTTTTTAACATAGGATATTACTGGAGACAGGGAGGAAAGAACGCTCTTCTTCAGAGAGATGCCTCCAGGCAGTAACTGGAGATCAGGAAAATATTTAAAGACCAGCGTAAGCACATTTTAACAATACTAAAAGAAACCAAAGGCAAAAATCATGGTGTTTCTTTTGTGACTGCTTTTGTTTGTTGGCATGTTAAGTGATCTTTTTTTATCGTTGTGACTGTCTGGTCAGAGAGCTTTTTATATACACATTCATTAGGCAGAGCAAGTTGGAGTATAACTTTTTTTAGCCTCTGTGTTGCATTGTGTGTGACATGTTCATATGTGCTCTCATGAACGCTGAAGTCAGTATCTTGACTTGGACCATAACTAAGTTAGGATTTGATTTAAGATACTTGATGTGGAACATGAACAGATGAATTCCCCTGTCAGCTGGGATTGTAGGGACCTCCTTGAAAAGGCTTCAGGCGCTCTTAAAAATCCCACCCATAAACAATCCTGCAAAATGCCTCTTCCCTCTGTGTATAACAGAAAGCTAGAAAGCAGAGTGGTTTGTCACAAAGCTGTTTCAGTCCCAGGCTCTCTGTGACTGCGGCAAGCTTGCAGGCAGATGGGTGCTCCTTTGCCTTGCTCTGCTTACCCTAATTACAAATGAGCCTGCGTGTCGAGTGAGATTTAAGAGAACCAGAAACTGAGCCCATGTGGCTTGCCTTGTGGTGATGCTGGGCTCCTGTGACCATCTTTGGTGGTGGTGGGGCTTGCGAGCGGCACTGCTGGTGGGCAGACGGCCCAGGTGTTTGTAACGAAACCCGTGCCAAGGCTGCCGACAGCATCTTTGGCCGGAAAAGCTTCCGTTCATTTTGTTGGCCTTCGGGTTAGGCCCTGTGTTTTGCAGCTGGTACTTAATCATGCTGGCACTGAAGATCGGTGTATTTGTTCTTACCAGTCTTCCCATTACTACCCATTTTTATGGACGGGTGGCAAGTGCCGTAGCCTGTTAGTCACCTCTCTGTGCCCACGCTGTCTTCATAACCAGATATTTTCGCAACAGAAAAGGGGATTAGTCACGGGAGGAAGCAGGTGTGTCAGATGTATAGGAAAGAGAGTGATTAAACAGTGGTATTTTCTGCTTGGGCTTCTCCAGTGAGCTGAAGGAGTCATCCTTGGCACAGTATCCCCTGCGGTTCCGCTGCAAGGCTCAGGGACAGGAACACCCCCAGGCTAACACCTGGTGGGCTACCAGCTGCATTTTGTACAGAAGCACGCTGCCTTTAACTAACCCGTAGGAGGTTTTCTCCTTCCTGCTTATGAGCCTTCAGAGGACAAGGAAAAAAAAAAAAAAAAAAAAGACTTCTTCAATTCACAGCAAATATAGTTAAGTGGTTATTCTTTTGTCACCTTTTAGCTGAAGACTCTTTATGTCTTTCCCCATTGAACTGTTGGGTTTGCTTTTTTTGCTGAGTTTTGCCACCCCCACGGTGGGTGGGGATCTGGCCACACCTGACCAAGGAAGGTGGTGTGAGGGGAAGAGGAGGAGTTTGGGCTTGCTGCTGTTGGTACTACCCAGAGCGGGTGGGAATGCCTGCTGCTCCCGTTGCTCTCCCATACCTTTGCCTGCCGTGCCATGTTTGTTCCCGGCTGTCTTGGTGGGACAGCAGCCAACCCTGGGTTTCCAGAGTGATGGTGTAGTTACTGGGGTCATTTTTCCTTTGCCTTGACCATAGCAGGCTCTTGTTTTAGAAGTAGTTTTTCTCATAGGTCAGGCTGCCACCACTTGCGGAGGGAGGGTGGGTACCTTGACTGAGGCTGCACCTTGGCATCCTTTTTACTTTTCCCTATATCAAAATGGCCAGACATCTGTGCTTTTCAAACCTAGGTTGCAATTGCTATGGAACACTTTGTTTTTATTTTCTTAAGTCCTTAAAAGTTTTATTTTTTGTTGTTATGTTGCTAGACCTAAGTTGAGCTCTTTGTCATCGGGTTTTGATATGTTGAAACCTGTTAGAGAGATACCTGTGAGAACTCTCATTGTTGAAGTTGGGTTTTGCCTGGTTGGGTCTGAGTGCTTCTTAAGGGGAAGCAAATCCAGCTGAAGGGAAAATTGTTTCCCCTTCATGAACATTTTAGGAGTAAACTGCACCTTCAGATGCACCTGTACAACTATCCCTGTGGCATATTTATTTTTCTAACATATTCTCCAATAGTTTTAAGAAATGGCTGAAAAGGTCTAGCATGAAGCTTAACAGAATGTGTTAAGTTTATTGTTATGCTACTGTTGTTCAGGCAATTTAGAGTAAAACACTACATATATTTTGGAAGAGCCAAAATAAATATGAGGACTTCGTGCCTTGCTTCCCTTCCATAGTTGCTCTGCGTGTCACCAGCGGTAATGAAGGAATAAAACTTGCAGATGGTCACCTCCCTGGAGCGGTTTCCAACGTGCAGACAGAATTTATGGAGGTGGCTTGTTCAGGAAACTCTTTTCTCTGTGGCAGATACCGCAACCAAGTTCCAGAATGGTAATAGGTCGCTGAAAATAATCCCTATGTATTTTGACAGCAGCTTCAGAAAAACCTTTATCTAGTCAGAGGATTATCTTAATCTGGGTCAAGAGATACTGCTGAGAATTTGCAGGAGGCAAAGCATTTGGGGTGGCTTTGTTTACTTCAGGCAGCTAAAGAGAGGTCACGACAAATTCTGCTGATAGTCTAATTACAGAGAGTATCCAAAACGAGTAAGTGCAGATGCCATGTTTGGACTATGCACCGAGTCGTATGATGTGAATGGACATTACTAACAGGGTCACTCTTCTGTCTGGTGGTCATCCTGGGAGCACTGTGTCATGGACCTGGGGAAAGAAAATGGTGATAGAAACACCAGGGAAGCAGCACCTGGGGATGGAGGTATGTTAGGAGGTGCCGGTCTTGTTCAGAGGAGGCATGGGAAGGTGGCGGGCTCAGTGACCTGCATGTTGCTGCTGTCTCTAACTGCCATGGTTTAGAGATTGTATCTCCGAGGATGTGGCCAGAATATTAGGTCATTGGCAAATGAAGGATGATTATGAGGAGCATGACAAGACACAAATCACGTGGGGAGGTTTGAATGTGAGTAGCCTTTCAGATGCTAGTGCAAACTGAAGGATTTTGTTCATAAGCAGAGCGGTATGGCATAGTCAGAAAGTGGGATGGATGGCATTCAAAGATGGTCCCAAAGTAGTTTTATATTCTTTCTGTCAGGGGCAGGAAGCAGATCTTCTCTGTCAGTAAACTTTTATTTGAGAAAGAGCCTTGTTCCAACTGGTGGAAGGGCCAGCATTGTCCTTCAAGTAATTGTATCCACCACAAAAGGTTTTTGTGTGTCAAAGGAGTCCCACCCGATTCATCAGGTGGGTGAGGGGCTTCTTTAATTGGTCTGAAATGATGATTTTGGTGATAGACATGGAGAGCAATGATGTTAGGCTTGGCTAATTGCAGGCTTTCTGAGTAGCAATTAACATGTCAGAAACGTAGTAATGCTTGAGGGAAATGCTGAAACTTTCCTTGCCTCCTATTAAAAAAAGGCCACAAATGGAAGTCTCCTGTAAACTAGTGCAAACAATCTGGTAATGCTTTGAGAAGCATTTTGAGAGAACCTGTTTGTCAGTGGCGTGACCCGATCGTTGCCTGTCAGGAGAAGGCTGTAAAGAGGGCTGCCAGCAGCTCTAAGTTTGCTCTTACTGAAAAGGGAGGAGATCGAAGATCGTGCTGTGTGTATGAGGCTTGTTAATACCCCTGGCAGCTGTAAGAATTTCCAAGACTGTAAAAGCAGCTTATCTCCTGAGGAGGAGAGCCCCCTCACCACCCCCCCTAAATTAGACAGATTAACTTCCTAAGAAATGGAGAGTTATTCCACCTCAAACCTACGCTGCTTATTCAAGCTAATCTCTGGAGGGCTGAAAGGCCTCTTGTCTGTGATTGGAATCATATGATAAAGCCTTGCTTGCTTTCTCTTTTATTGTGCCAAAAAGTTTGTCTTGCTTTTGATCTAGCTGAGAGCTGAAGTGGCTTTTAGTGTGTTTATGTGTGTCGTACAGAGCATTTTGAGACAAGAATATTGGGTCTTGTCTTTGGGCTTCTGGTGTGGTATCTCCTTGTACCCTGCGTGGTGGTTTCCTCAGGCATCTGCTGTACCTTCTCCTTCCTAGTGATGGTTAATAACACCTCCCAGGGGGGCTGCTCCACTGATGCGGTGGGATTTTTCAGACCTGGGGCAGAATGCAGACTAAATGGGGGTAAAGTTGTTACTGTACCTTGCAGACTATATTCTGCAGGTTGAGGAGAAGAGGATGCTGCAGGCTGCCGTGGTCATACTTCCCCTGCTGTGTCCTGGCCCTGTGCTGGGGATGGCATTCGTGTCTACTGCTGTACTCAGGCATGACCTGTAAAAATACTATTAGTAAACACTGAATTGTACTAGCTGCATAGTAATCAATAGTTGTGATGAATAATCTCTGCCCTACTCCTCCCTATAATCTACTAATTCTTGCCTGGTGGACACTGAGTTTACTTCTGAAGAGGTCTAGCTTTGGCATAGACACTGTGAAGACTACAAATGTTATTTTTTTTCCCCCAGAAAAGGCTAACTTTCCATTTTATTAAATGCTCAAGAGTCTTTTACATCAAAAATATCTTACAGATTTTTTCCTAAGAGCAAGCACTCTTTCCTCCTCCCACCCAAAAAAGTCCCAAGGAAAAAAAGAAGTCTTTCCAATGTTCAATGCATCAGGGTTGTAAAAAGACAACTAGCACTCAGCACATGGGTAAAGTTTACACTCCCCATGACTGAATCCTCACTGCTCTGCAGAGCTATAGCAAATAGGCTTTGCTTGGACAGGCAAAGATGGCGTTTCAGAAGAAGGACTTCTTCTACACCACGTTTTCAGTGCTGATGCCAGATGCTGATGTTGAGGTGTCCCCTGTGCTGCTGCAACTGTGGGTGCTGTTGTAGGAACCTGTCTTTCCGTTTTGGCACGAAGAGCCTAGCCGGCAGGCTTATGGCAGAGCCTGAGTGTGCTAATACTGGGCTGGTGCCGGGGGAAGCTTAGGGACATGATGTGGGCTACAGACTCCCTCCACAGCTGGTTACTCTGTGCTTTCCCAGGGTGCAGTAGATTGATACCACTCCTGCTTTGTTTATTGCTGGCTGGGATTGAGGGTCCTGGGAAACACTTGTCCCTGAAAGCCCTGAAGGGAGGAGGAAAAGAGGAATTGCAGGGCATGTGGTTAGTTGAGCACTCTTTAATTTGGGAACGTCCAGGCAGACTCCCAGGCTCTCTTCTGATAAGATGAAACACTCTAAACTGTGTCAAAAAATGAGGCTTCCAAAACCATCTGAATTCGGATCTCGGCTCGAACCTTGGCTCCCTTCTGACCTTATGTAAATCATGTAATCTCCCCTAAGAAACATAAGGGGCCTTGGCCTTTGAACCTGTGGTTCTTGGCTCATCCCTCTGCTGGCTTTCCTGTTCAACTCCTGGAAGCCATTCTTGTTTGCCTTCGGCTTGGGAAACTGTCTGCTCCGTCTTCAGAGCATTTCGCAGAACAATGAGGGAAGATTCATTCATTCATCCAAAAGATTTATCTTGTTTCTGTCACAACGAAGTTTTTGCCTTCCTCATTTTTTAGTGTCTGTCTTGCTGGTCTAAAGTCTGAGTGAGTGACAGTTCAAAGCCTGCTTAGCTAACGTCACGTGAGGAATAAAGCATTCTGGAGTAATGGAGGGAAGATCGGTATTGTTTTCCTGTACCCTGGGAGAACATGTGATGTTCAGCACAGGGGAGCCTGTATCACCCACTGAGCATCCTGAAACTCCTCTCTGTACCAGGAGAGCAGAGCGCTTGCCTTGCTCGCTTCATTTGAAAGAAACAAAAGTACAATCGAAAGCTTTTCACACATAGTCTGTACTATGCCACATGCACCTATCTTTATCATTCAGAAGTATTGTTTTTTAAAAATCTTCACAGTTTTCCATTAATTGATCAGAAACATGGTAACCAGCTTCACTTGCACTGGGTTTTGCTTCCACCATCGCTTTTGTGAAGGTCAGCATGGATGTTAGGGTGGTTGCTGTAGTGGAAGCTGTCACTGAGGGCTTCTCTTTTTTTTTTTTTTTTTCTTTCTGTGATGATTGTAAAAACTTCATGTTTGTTAAAACATCTGTGGCATTTAATGCCCTATTGTTTTCCTGCTTTGCAAGCAGGAAGGGAGAAATGTATATTTTCCTTTACAACAAACCAGCCTTTGTCAGATGCTGACTCACTTGGCCTTGGTGTGCCAAACTGCTACAAGCGAGTTCATTGTAAATGTCTCTAACAACGCGTAGTTCATGCCTCATGTTTTTTGGATTATGAAATCATATACTGATATACAGGTATGAGAAGGGCTCTGCATCTATTCAGCACAGGTGAGATTGTTATCTGGACAGTAATTAGCTTGAATAGGAGACTGGGTTTAACTGTTTCCCTGTGATAACTTTGCACAGTTCAGACATTGAGATGCTAATATTTTTGCATTCCACAGGTTCCTTTTCTTCTCATAGCTTATCTCTGTTTTAAATGGTTCAAAATAGATGGCATTTTAATTGTGCAGATGCATCAGATACTCTGGAATGAAACCAGATCTTTCCCAGTGAGGGTCATGCTGAAGTTTTCATGTAATGAGGATGACTATGAATCAATTACTTGATACTTCATTATGATGAAAGAAAACAAACATGGCACCAACAGTGGGTTCAGCAGTCTTTGTTTCAAAAAGGAACTTGCAGAACCATTTAAGGCAAAATAAAATCCCAGAGAGGATCATCAAGGGGCTCAAATGAGAGCATAAAATACTGTACAATGAAAAATGGCACAAAAACTTCAATGCCTTAGATATGTATGTGAAAAATTTCAGGCTGAGCCTTCCCACACTATGGGAGGTCATCAAGTAAAGCAGAGTTAGCTCTGTTTATCTCCAGTCAAAGCGACACATGACTTCATTTGGATTTTAGTCTCATTACTGCTGAAGTGTGAAGTGTCAGGTTAAAAAGACTACACGCTTTTCACCCATAGGGATTGCTCTGTTTTAATGGGTCAGGTCAGTGCTATGGCTCAAAGCATTGCAAACGATTAATGTTTAATACATTCTAAACTTAAGTCCTTGAGAATACAAAATTAACCCTGTGGACGTCTGTGATTGGGACTTTTTGATACTTGCCCATTTCAAGGAGTACAGTGTGCCATTACTGCTGGCAATGGAGAGCTGAAACAAAACCAGAAGAACATATTTTTCTCAAATCCTATTGTTCTTCACAGAGTGGTCCTGGCAATCTGTGCTCTTGCATCCTCAAAGATTGCCAGGATGAATTATGTTACACAAACATGTCAGTCTTGGACTATGAGAGGAGAGCAAGTGTCCAATCTAGGTCAAGCAAGAAAGTGCTGCCTTTTTTTCCCCAAGAGTTTCCCATTTCTGACTTTACCTTCCCTGTTCCTCCTATTGTATACCAAAACTTTAAAAAAACCCAAAACCCCCAAAACCCAACCAAACAAAAAAACCCCCACACGAAGCAAAACCAAACGTCCAAAAAAACCCCTTATCCAGAAGGGAGGAGATTTCTACCCCATATTCTTGCCATTTTTTGTGTCAAAAATTAACAGACAGAATGCCCCCCTAATGTCCACAGGTTAAAAATATTTGATGAGGTTTTCCGACATGCCACACAATATCTCTGACATTGTAACTGTAGTGCTGGATGTCTAAAATGAGTAACTAAGAAGAAATTGGTGTGTTCTTGGATCTTGTCAGCAATGTTACTTTCGTGGTGGTTTATCATGCCTTGTTGAGTATTAATAATTCAGAAAAGACTGGCTAAGAAACTGCTTAATATACTGCCTTTTTTGGAGTGGCATGAGGACAATTTGCCTTAGTCACAATTTTAAAGGAATGCAATAGTCTCTGCAGTATAAAATCTAAGTGGAGCGAATTTTTATGGTGGTAACATTGTTCATTCAGACCTTTTTTTTTTTAAACCTAGAGTACTGGCACATTTATTTCAGAAAAGCATAGATAATGTCAGTGTTGAGTTCTGTGGCTGTATAAAACAGTGGGATGATGAGTTAAATTAGTGTATATTGATTTGTGGCTTACTTTTTATATGATTTAGTAAAAGGAAGCACAATTAATTAAATGTCTTAAAATTTAAGATTAACGTTCTTCTGGATGCATCATCTGTCGAGGTCCTCTCATGGCTCTTGTTGTTCCTATGTTGCGTGCCAGAGGAAGTATTCTGATCAGCAAGGCCTAACAGAGGGATGTTTCTAAAATGGGATTATGAATCTCATAAATCTTTATTTCGGAGACCTTTTCAGTGTCTTGAAGCTTAAGCCAGCATGTCAAAATCTGTTACTCTGAACTAAATACAACAAATCACTCAGTTGAGATTCTGGTTTTGAAATTTTTTTTTTTTTAGTTGAACATTTGTTCTTCGGAAACAGAAAGGCTAAGAAAGATGTTGATATTTCCCCCTCACTGCCGGCACTACAGTTGTCTATTTTTATTTACTTTGAGAGACAGGGAGAATTGGACAATTGGCTGAACCACAGTAACCAGCATCATCCGCTTCTCATTATTTCTGATGCTTCCTTAAACTACTGAAATCTTGAGACTGTAAAGAAAGCGTACAGTCATTTCTTTTGAAAACCACACAGAATCTGGCAAAAATTCTAGTGCTTTCAAACAATGACAGGATCTACACTGTTGCCTTTGATCCATACACTGGGAAGGGCTTCACCCCCTACCCATCCCCACCCTCCTCCTCCTCTTTGCAGTTTAACTTGGCTTGTCAGAAGTGGTTTCAGTGTATAACCCTTTGGAGACAGAAATAGATGGGCGTCCCCACAAGAGCTAATTTGGCTTGCAGTCCCCCAAAAAAGGCTGGCGGTCCTGACATTCACATCCCAGCTTATCTTGCTAGACTGTGAGATGAAGCACTTTGTAGGAGATGAACTGTCCTGAGGAGAAATGGAAGAGCAGCTCTCGAGTTGGGAAAAGAATGCACAGCAAGGATGTTGTTTTTCTTTGTGGTTGGGTGCAGGCAGAAAAGGATGAAAATGTGGTTCGGAAATCCAATGCAGACAACCACTGTTCTCCTTGGAGGACTGCACAGAAGGCGTGTATGTACAGGAGACACTGCTGACCACTGACCACATCCCACTCACCACCCATTAGGGATTTTCAGAATCCATAAGAAAGCAAATGGCAAGAGATTTTTATTTTTAATTCTTTTTTTCCTGAGGAGTGATTTATTGTGAGTATCTCTTCTAAGCTTTTGCAGCTGCTGAGTTGGGTTTATATCTGAACTTGAGGCTTCATCTGGGCTGGGAGAGGGTGGGAATAGTAGGAAAAGGTTCAATAGACAAGGAATGGGGATTCGCAAGATCTTCCTGGGGATTTAAACTATTTGCAGGCCTAAACCTCAGATTCATCTGCCCTTATGGAAAGGGGTTTTGTCTTCTCTATTTTCATTTCACTCCTGGCTCCTTGAGTACGGTAGCATAAAGTTTTGAAAATACTGTCCTGAATATTCTTAGTCTTAAAAGGCTTTATTTCAGAGCATAGTTGTCTATGTCTAGGCAGGTGGCTTAACCTTGCTCAGCTCCATCACATGCCATATGTAGAAGTGTGTGTCTAACTCACTTAAAACTTGTGTTCAGAGATTGAGCTCTGCCCCCTGGGAACTGGGCCAGTGCTCCCAGCCCATGTCCTGTCACTCACAGCATGCCGTGGGGTTGCACAAAGTTAGAAGAGTGGGAGCACCTGTCAATCACCCTGAGCTTGCCTGAGCACTGGTGCGGCTGGTCAAGCTTCCGGAAATGGACTCTTCCATCAGTCCTCTCATTAGCCTTGCCCATGAGTAAAAGAGGCCAAAATTCCCATTTTCGCTCCCAGAAGCT